ATGCCCAGTTCCTATATCAGCAACAGGCTGTTCCATCTTCCTCCACTGCTACTTTTGTTCAGTCAGGTATTGCTTCCACTTGTTTATTGTCCTCCAATTGCAATCCTTGGATCATAGACTCTGGCGCTTCTGATCACATGACTGGTGCGTCCGATATTTTTTCTATTTATCAGTCTACTCATTCCACACGTAGTGTTACTCTTGCTAATGACACTTGTTCTAAAGTTTCAGGTTTGGGGACTACTAACTTGAGTCCTGATATATCCCTATCTTCCGTATTATTTGTTCTTCAATTTCCTTTTAGTTTACTTTTTATTAGCAAGATTATCCGTTCTCTCAATTGTTCTGTAACCTTTTATTCTTCGTATTGTGTCTTTTAGGATCTTAAGACGAAGAGGAAAATTGGTACGGGGCATGAAGCTGGTGACCTATATTACTTTGATTTTGATTCACCTACTTGGGCTCTACAGATCTCGTTGTCTCCTTTTCAGTGGCATTGTCGTCTTGGACATTCTTCTTTTCAGAATCTGAAATGCCAAGTTCCCAGTTTTAGTTCCGTGTCGTCTTTGTCTTGTGAAGCGTGTCAACTTAGTAAGCATCACCGTGTGTCATTTCAGTCTCGAGTCAATAATCGTGTGTCTAATCCATTTGAGTTGGTACATTATGATGTATGGGGTCTAATAAAGAATATTTCATCTAATAAATATCCTTATTTTGTGTCATTTGTGGATGACTATTCTCGTGTGACTTGGTTATTTCTGATGAAAGTTCGGTCTGAATTATTCTTATATTTGAGACCTTTCGTAAGAAAATAAAAACTCAGTATGGTTGTCGTATCTATATTTTACGTTCTGATAATGCTTAGGAATATGAATCCGATCCTTTTTCAGCTTATCTTAATAAAGCTGACCTTATTCATCAGACTTCCTGTGCTTACACATCTCCACAGAACAGTATTGCTGAACGCAAGAACCGTCATTTGTTGGAAGTCACCCGTGCCCTATTATTTCAGATGAATATTCTCCGATATTTTTGGAGTGATGCTGTTCTTACTGCTTGTCACCTTATTAATTGTATGTCATCCTCTGTGTTAAATGGCCAAAGTTTATATTCTATCCTTTTTCTTGGTAAGCTCTTATTTTTCCTGACTTCTAAGCTTTTTGGATGTGTTTGTTATGTTCATAATTTGGGTCCTGGATTTGATAAACTTGACTCTCGAGCTACTAAATGTGTATTTCTCGGTTATTCCCGTACGCAGAAGGGGTATCGTTGCTACAGTCCTTCTCTGCATCGATACTTTACTAGTGCCGATGTCACGTTTGAAGAATCTATTCCATATTTTTCAGCACCTTCTCAGCCTTTGAATTTGGACTTTGGGTCATCTCTTGTACCACTATCTCTTTCCTCATCTTCAGATGTCCCGATGCCCACTGTGTTATCATTACTTTACTTCTCTGTGTCTACTCTCGTCGTCCTTGCCCATCCACTGAGGTGTCTGTACTGTCTTCCTTGTCGCCTTCTGACCCTGGTACATCAGGTAATTTAGACTCTTTACCTATTGCTCTTCGCAAAGGTACTCGTTCGTGTGTTACTAATCATCTCATTTCTCATTTTGTTTCATATGATGCATTGTCTTCTGTCTTCTCTTATTTTACTTCCCAATTATCTGCTATATCTATTCCTAAGCATGTACAGGATGCATTATCTGATCCGGGTTGGAGGAAAGCTATAGAGGAGGAGATGGATGCCTTACATCATAATGGGACTTGGGATCTCGTTCCTTTACCTCCTGGTAAACGAATTGTTGGCTGTCGTTGGGTGTATACTGTTAAATTTCATCCAGATGGTTCTGTGGAGCGTCTCAAAGCCCGGCTTGTTGCAAAGGGCTTTACTCAGACTTATGATGTTGATTATGAGGAAACTTTTTCTCCTGTTACCAAAATTTCTTCTGTTCGTATATTGATTTCTTTAGCTGCTAATCTTGATTGGCCCTTGTTTCAGTTAGACGTCAAGAATGCCTTCTTACATGGTGACTTGGTTGAAGAGGTATATATAGAGCAGCCACCTGGGTTTATTGCTCAGGGGGAGTATGGTAAGAGTGTATGTCGGTTAAAGAAATCTTTGTATGGTTTGAAGCAATTACCGAGGGCATGGTTTGGTAAGTTTTCAGATGTAGTTTTAGAGTTTGGTCTTCTTCGATGTCAGACAGACCATTCTGTGTTTCATAGACAGACAAATGTTAGATAAGTCCTATTAGTGGTCTATGTAGATGATATTGTGATTACTGGAAATGATTCTGAGGGAATTGCCAAGTTAAAAGCATTTTTACAAGATCGATTTCATACTAAGGATTTGGAAAAATTTAGGTATTTCTCGGGTATTGAGGTGGTTAGATCTAAATAGGGTATTTGTTTATCCCAGAGGAAATATGTACTTGACATGCTTGAGGAAGCAGGTTTGCTCGGTGGTAGACTTATTCCTATGGATCCGAATCTGAAACTTTTGATGGATGATGGTGCACTATTTGAGAATCCAGGTCGGTATCGCAGATTGGTTGGGAGGCTCAATTATCTCACTATTACTCGATCGGATATTTCCTATGCAATCAGTATAGTAAGTCAATTCATGGGGTGTCCTAGAGTATCACATTAAGATGCAATTACTCGTATTCTGCGATATCTCAAACGTGCTTCTGGACTTCGACTGTTATATCGAGCTAATGGACATCTTAGAGTGGAAGGTTTCTCAAATGCTGATTGGGCTAGCTCTCCTTCTGATCGGAGATCAACCACTGGTTATTGTACTTTTTTAGGAGGTAACGTTGTCTCATGACAAAGCAAAAAGCAATCTGTGGTAAGAACATCTAGTGCTGAGGCTGAGTATAGGGCAATGACGCATACGACGACTAAGTTGACTTGGCTACTACACTTCCTCCAGGAAATTGGGTCTCCAGTTCAACTTCCTTTACAGTTGTTCTGTGACAACCAGACAGCTATCCGTATCGCTGTCAATCCTGTGTTTCACGAGAGAACCAAGCATATTGAGGTTGATTGTCACTTTATTCGGGACAAGATAGTAGCCGGGGAGATTACAACTCCATTTGTGAAATCTTAAGATCAGCTTGTAGATATGTTTACCAAAATATTGAGCCGTACACGTCTTACAGCTATTTGTTCCAAGCTTGGATTATATGATATATATAGTCCAGTTTGAGGGGGAGTGTTAAGAATAGTAGGGTAGTATGTATAAATTGTTAATAGTAAGAGGATGTATATGTAATTCTTATTATTGTAGGTTAACTATAAATATAAGTGATGTATGAGAGGTAGGTTAAATTTTAACCTCTCTCTGTTTTCTCTAATATTGTGTTAATTCTCCACACTTAACATGTACTATATGGAGGATTCTCAGCACGAGGCATTGCATTTCCTTGTGGAATCATTTTGACTGTCCCACCAGAACTAAAATCTTGCAGAATATTTATTATTCTAGTCCTGCAATTTTGATCCAGCTGCAAAGGGATCACCTTGATGGTTTTGCTGCAGCTGGTCTTCTACTTCTATGGAACTTGTCTTTTCAACAATCTTGGACTAAGAAAATTGAATCACTTGTGGGCTAGCGATAGTTCCCTAGGTTTTAGAGGCTACTAGTTTGATATTGTAATTTGAAAGTCAGGAGAGAAATATATATTAATTTCTCGTTTCTAGAGGTTAACAGGTCATGACAGAACCTCCTCGGTGAATAGGTTACTTAAGTTCTCTTGAGGCCACCCTATTATGTTCTAGAAACAGGAAAGATTAAGTGTTTTCTCTCCAGGGCGCGGAGCCACGTGGGGACAGGGGTGGGCAGTTCCCCCCCCCCACAAAAAAAAATCCAATTTTTTTTTAAAAATGGTTCTAGTTTTTTCTTTTTTTCATAAATTAGGGGTCCACTAACCCTCTAAAATAAATGTTTTATTTTTGGATTGAATAAATCAGATGTAATTATCTTGATTTATTTGTATATTGACCGAAATACAATATTTCTTTTTATTTAAAACAATGCTCGCTAATTTTTAAGAATAATTTTTAGTTATCATTTGCTATTTTTTTAGTATATAGTAGTCTACTACCTAGGAAGCACGAATACTTCTTACAGGGGTGCCGTGGCAGTATCAGACACGATCAGGATATGTCTAGGACACGGCTAAAAATTTTTTTATTAAAAAAAATAATTTTTAACTATTAAAAATTTATTTTTTGTTACCTAACTTATATATTATGAATGTTAATAGATGCAATGATGTTTGATGAAAATAGTGGATATTTAATTTGATCTATTTCAATTTTAATCAAAAAAATAATATTTGCTATGTCTTATTATTAATATTGTTATAATCTATACTTTATTTTTAATATATTACAACTTTATTATTATTTAAAAAATATATTATATTATTTTAATAGCTGTATCCTTACCGTATCTATGACCCATATTTTTTAACTTTATCGTATTCTCGTGTCCGTATCGTATCGAATACTACATCCGTGCTTCCTAGACTACAACCCAATAAAATATGATTGTATACAAATGACAAAAGGTTATAACTCAAAAATATTTTAAACTATTTCGAGTAGGAAATTTCTCTATAAGATCGATAATGATATCAACTAAGTTTTGCAACTAAATGAAAAATAATTTTACTATGGACTTGTGATTGTGTCCATTGATAGAAAATTAGTGAAAAATTAACATTAATTAATATACAAAATTTTAAAAATTTTAAAGGACATTGTATTTAATTAAAATATATAATTGGGTTAAAATGTACTAAAAAAAATATTGGTCTTTTTGTTCAAATTTTGTTTCGACTAGATAAAAATTGATTTTAATATTTCATGATAATTTTCTCTCGAGTCTTAATTTTTTGTATCAACTAAAGACTTATTTTCAGTTATATTTTGCCCCCCCCTCATAGATTTTCCTGCCTCCGTCCCTGGTTTCTCTATTAAGTGCATTTGATGACACGTATGAATTTCACTTGTAAGGGTTTGAAACTTATGTCTGGGAGACCAAACTTGTTACCAAACAAAGGACGTCACTTTACTTCACAATTTCATCCTTGATTTCCAGTTGTGGGCATTTTGCTGCTTAAAGTCTTCAGCATCCTTAATTTAGTGCTAAAATATTGCAGTATTTTCAAAATTCAGTAACATTATGCCTTTTGATGTAAAATCAAGGCGTGTCTAAGTGGAAGCCACTTGTGCTTTTTATCAGATGCACTCAGTGGAGGACCACTGAAAATTTTTAATGGCCCTTATTCTTGAAGTGAATTCCTAAGGTGGTTTCTTTAGTAGAATACTTTCCTGTGAAGCTCTTAAATGCTTCACTTTGTTATAGCTACAGTGTGTTCATATGACATTCGAACTTTTCTTCTGGAGAGGTTGAGAATGAATGTGCTTATGAGCATGTGTTCTTCTTATTCTCAGTCATAGGAATCAGTGGGGACTCCAGAGTTGTCCCATCTTGAATGTTAGCATGCCAGAATTTTGTCAATCTTTTTCTGGACAGAGTCTTCCCTCCGGAGAGGTTCAGAAGACGCCTCTTGATGTTGGTCGATTGGCATTTTAGTTACTTATCCAGATATTTGAGGATTATAGCCAATTTAATTACTTATTTAGAGAATTGAAAACTAAGTGATTTGAATTTGTTTTTGGAAAATTGTAGCAGAATATTAATGGAGTCTATCTATGACAGAGTTTCTAGTTTGAGAGAGGCCAGTGTATGTATTGTAATTCAAATATGCAGATTGATGATGGAGTAAAGCGCTATGGTATGAAGGCTATTTAAGCATGCTACCTTAATTGAAGAATTGGGCTCCCCTACAGTAGATTAGGAGATTCACTTAAATTGGACAAATAAACAAGAAATAGATTATGATTATGGAGAAATTATTTCCAGCTATTGTCTTCCTTCCAGAGTTCTGAATCTCGCTGAGGGTCTGTACTCTGTGAAGCATCTTGCCTCAACAAAAATTCTGTGCAGCAATGTTCTTCAAATTTTATTAATCCATTTTTTAATAGAGAACTTGTAACCATATGCGTAGCATAACAAAGGAGTTCACCTAAAAGCTAAATGCTCAGTGGGTAAGGGAGTAAGGAGCTTAAGGAAGTTGACATAAGACTGAGAAAAGTATTATAGAATTGTGCTGCTGTTGCCATATGACTCTTTACTTATAGAAATCCTGAGATTAAATCTCTACTTGATTCATCTATCATTTATAGAAGCAGTTCAACACCATGTGGCAGGCATGGTGCAGGAATGTTCTGTCAATAAGGACTCATTTTGGCTTTGTGATTTTCCATAAGTTCCACATTTATTTGCACTTAGCAGTTGTAAAATTCATAGCCGCTTCAGTTAAATTCTGTGGGTGATGTAGTAGACCAATTGTGAGAAACTGGTTAGGTTTTGACATGTTCTATACCAGCTTCTATCACCAGAATATCAGCTATATGATTAACATAAGTTACAGGATTCAGATGGCATGATACAGTTTACTTTCTGTCACTAAGGCTTGATGTTTCTGGTATGAGTTTAATGTTGTGTTATTGACCATTTCCGTTATATTACATGTACCTATGCTATAAACTATTGAATTAGTTTAATTGTTAGTTTTATTTTCCCTTTAAAATCCAAAGCGGCACCTTCCATTACCGTTATACCTTCTTTGTAAACCACGCGTCTAAAGTGACTTGGTTGAGTCATCCAAGACATTTTCGAGTTAATCTCGAGTCATCCGAGTCGTCGTTATTTGGCCGATACCATTTGACTAGTCTTTCCTGAAGTTATAACATATCTAATTGTCTCTGTTACTTTTCTAAATAAGAAATTTTTGGTCATTTTAGCTAAGAATATTTCATTTTTTTGACAATTATTTCCACACATTTGTTGCAACAGTCATGAATGTTCAGTGTAATATTTCCTAGGCCTGAAATTCTTCCTGAATACAATTTCTATGGCTATCTTATAATTGTTTTTGAAGAACTTTTGTATGGAAATCTCATTGTTTTGAATCTTCAACGATCAAGAGGAATTGGTTAGTTTACTGCATAAATTTATGGCAGAAAAATGGCAAACAAATAGGATGTTGTATTTGAGTGTCCTTGCAGAGTAGTTTTTCTACAAAACGTTGGTATGGAAATCTGGTCTTACAAAATCTTAAGCGATCAGGAGGAATTGCTTTATTAAGTGAAGCAGTCTCTATTCCTTATGGTCCTATAGCTGTATTTTTTTATCATTTGTTTTTTATTTGAATGTTTTGGTTTTACGAAAAAAAATAAGCCTGAGTAAATTTGTATTCCATTTTTATTTCTGAATGATATTGTTCATCTCTTAAATTCTTCATTGCAGGTTGCTATTCCAATTGTCCCAACCATTCGCGTCCTTGTTACTTTTACAAAGTTTGAGGAGCTTCAGCCAGCGGAGGAGTTCTCAACTCCTCTTTCCAGCCCTGCACATTTCCAAGATGCCAAGTCTAAGGACTCAGAAGGGTCCACATCGTGGATTTCATGGATGAGAGGAAGCCGTGGTGGGCAATCAAGCGATGGTGAAAGTCGCAGCTTCAGGGATGAGATTGACCCGTTCCTCATACCATTAGATTATGCTTGGGTTGATGCAAATGAGAAAAAACGTCGGATGAAAGCCAAGAGAGCAAAGAGCAAGAAACATAAAAAACAAGCGGCTGCCAGAAATCCGGATGGTAGCCGTCAGGTGAGTGAGGATATGGAAGAATAGGGGCACAAAAAATTCTTATCGGTACAATGCTCCTTCTGGATCTTGTACAAGAAGAGGGGGTGTAAAGCCCATACCTTGCATGTATGGCTTCTATCATTCATTCGGGTGTGGTAGAATGGTTGGTTCATGTGAAATTATTAGGAGATTGCTTCTTGTTGCTGAAGAAGATCCTAGCTTCTTCATTGTCGTAGTATTATTATGTGATGTGAAATTGGTGAGCAACAGAATCTCCTTTTTGTTTTTTCTTCAAAGCTTGTTTCTGAGCTAATTCTTATTATATAACTATTATTAATGATTCAATATTGTTTAAAATCAAAACTGGTTAAGTAGATTTATTTAGAAATTAGTTATTGTTAGTGTCTAAAAGTATTAAATAATAAAAAAAATGATTAACAATAAGTATATTTGTATTCATATTTAAATTAAATTACAAACATAGAAAAAAGGAAGGAATTTAAGCATTGGTTATAATGAAAACGAGCGACGATGGTGGTGACAGGGGACAATAATGGTTATGGTGAATGGTGATGACTGTGGTGAGGGTGACAACCGTGGGGCAACAGTGACGGTGGTGGTAGGTTTTGAGTGACGATGGTGGTAGTGACAATTATGAGTGACGACGGTGGTGGGTGTGGGTGTGGGTGGTGGGCGACAATAATAGTGGTGGATAGTAGTGGTGGTGAGGCCACGACGGTGGTAGGTAGCGACAATGATAGTGGTGCGTGACGACGAGTGTTTATAGGTAGTGATGGTGGTGGTTGTGGTGGTGGGAGGGGTGGGGGTGGGTGACAATGGGTGTGACGACAATGATGGGGCGATTACGGGTGGTGGTGGTAGAAATGGTGGAGGTGGGTGACAATGGCTGGCGACGATGGTGGGCAATGAGAGGTGATGGAGGAATATGATTATGGGTGACAGTGGGTGATGGTGGTAGTAATCAATGATGGATTGTAATGGAGGATGACGATGAAAATAATTGATGGTAGTTGGCGGTGAGGCAGTGGGGGTGGTGGTGGGGCAGGGGTAGTGGCAGTAGTAGGGGTGATGGTGGTGGTGGGGTAACGACAACAGTAATGGTGGTGGTAGAGGAATGGCAATGGTGATAGTGGTGATGATCGTGGGAATGGTGGTAAGGCGATAGGGGTGGTGGCTGTAGGGGTGGTGGTTGTAAGGGTGATGGTGGGACAATGACGGTGGTGATAATGGTTTTTTGTGTGGTAGAAGTGGTGGCAGTGATAGTTATGGTGGTCGTAATGATTGTGGGGGTGTTAGTGAGGTGGTGGTGATGGTGGTAGGGTAGTGGGAGTGGTGGTGGTGATGGTGGGGGTAGTTGAGTAGGTGGGGTGGCGAGAGCGGTGGGGGTGGTGATGGTGGAGTGGTTTCAAATACTACTTTTATTTTAATAGAGTATTCATAAGAAATTATGAGTCTTACAAGCACTTTTAAAAAATCACCCAAAACATACTATTAAAGGCCTATTTTCCTTGTTAAATTTAGAGTGTTGATGTTAGGCGTCATATTAACTTTAAAATAAAATTTAAAGAGATCTCAACCGCGAAAATAAAAATTATTTTATTTATTTTTTAAGATTTGAATTGTATTATACTTTATTATATAGATATATTGCCCCGCTCTAGTCAGGAAACCACTCTCTAATTAATGATAAGTGGTCCATAATATATTGTCATAGATTAATTTTGACAATGATAAGTAGCATTCAATTGTTGAATTTTGTGATTCAAACTAACTTTCATGATGGTATCATAAAATTGATTTATATAATAAAGTAAAATATAAAAAAAATAATTCATCAAAACTTAAGAGAAAATAAAACAATAAAAAACTAATATTCGCAATGAAAATATGTAGTGTTATGTCTATTACAAATTACACAAAGAAAAAAAAATCAAGACAAAAAAATTTATAAACCTTACTAGTAGGTAGCTCGACTGAAAGAATCACAAAAAATGAATAAATTGAATGTTCATAATTATAAAGAGAATACACGTAATTTAAGTATGATAAATATGAGATAATATCTAATTTAGTTACATAATTAAATTTTTTTATGTATTTTTATTAAATGTTTTAACAAAATTTCACGTGCATTGCTAATACTTCTAAGAAAGGAACTAAATGGAAGAGACTGGTGGTTAGAATTTTAAGTAATAAATATTTGACAAATAAAATTGAAACCAGCGTGGGATTTATATTATTTATCCAACAAAGAAACAATATAATTGGTAAGACGTGTTAAATGATGGGTATGGTTGTGAAATAGTGCTTTAATTAAATCCATTCTGTTTAAGCTTCATTGTTTTTTCTTTTTCTGGGATTACTTCAAAATTCAATTCTCCTTATGTGGAGATTCCAGCATCCTTTTGTAACATACTAGTAATACATTACGTTCATTGCACGTGCATAATTTTTTTTAAAAAAAATTAATAAATAAATATTTGATATGTATATTTGAATTAAATATCATCTCAAATTTATCAGACTTATTTTTTCATCTCTCATGCTCCACTATAGAATTTTTAAAAACTGTGTATTTTCAAGATTTGTTGTTCTAACTTTAAGAAAAGTAATAAAAAAAGAAAAGAAACAATTAAAGTTCTATTTTGTTTCTATAATTTTGTAATTAAAAGTGATTTTTTAGTGATGTTTGAAAATTAAATTTTTTAAAATTAATTTGATTAGTATTCCACTTATAAATCATTAAATAACATAAAAATAATTATCAATATACTAATCGTATTTGAACTTTACTATATTTAGGATTAGTTAAGTCAATTGAGATAAATTTTAATATACAATACTATAATATATATTATAAAACATATTAAATTTTTTAAAAAAATCAAGTTTTCACAAAAAATGTTAACATAGTTTAAAAAGTTTATTGTGACTAAAAAATCATATAAAACTTTATATACATTATTTTTTATCTTAAAAATAAAAGGGTTAAACATTTTAATGAAAAATAAAATATAAATATGTAATCATAATATTACCTTTATAAATAAGGTGAATAATATTATATTGATGAAATTTTTGAATATTTTTGTAAACCCACACATTCTATTCTTTATATAGCAGCGTAATTATGTTTTGAAATACTAATTTATGTAATGATGTATGCATGAACTAGGTGGATTGTAAAAGTAGAGATAAAATGTTAGTTGAGGTAATAGAGTGTGTTATAGAAGTTTGGAAGTATTTCAGAGTGAAAACACATTTTAGACAAAATTTAGATAAAAAAGATTTTAGACACTGCCTTAGTATTTTGATCATAACTTTTTATTCTAATGTCTATTTGATCTGAAATTTTGACAGTAGATAGTAGACTTCTAGGGGCTACAAAAGTATATTTTTATGAAAATTTTCCAAATCGACCTCTAAATAGGCCAAAATTTCACTAGAAATTTTAGCAAAAACAGGAAGTCCGTTCGAACGTGAAATGACGTTCGAACGACCTACGTTTGAATGTGAAAGTCTGTTCAAACGATAATACGTTACAGTACTTTTTGTTTGATGGAAAAACAAAAGTACTGGGAGCAAAAGGACGTTCGAATGTCAATGACGTTCGAACGTGAGCTACGAATTTTGACTTTCAGATTCGCACACAGGGGGACCATTTGGCCTCTTAAAAATACATAAGAACGCCTCCTTTAGCCTTCATACACCATTTACAACCCTAGAAAGCCTTGAGAAACAATAAAGAAAGGTAGAAATACACAAGATCAAGAGGGATTTGGACCTTGAAGTGGATCAAAATCTCAAGTTTTTCAAGAACACTAACGAAGAAGAAGTTAAAGGTTTTCTTCCACTCTTGTTCATTGAGGCTAGAGCTTATATATACATATGTTTTGACTCTTAATCATATATATTTGTTATAAAATCCTTGATTGTTGATATTCTTACAAATCTTACCATGTTTTGAAAGAATTTATGGTTTGATAACCCAAGAAATTCATGTTCTTGTTGTAAAACCTAACTTGGAAAAAAATGAATTTTTCTTCATGATATCCTCTTGTTCTTGATTCAAAAACTTTAGCGCTTTGCTTGGAACAATAAATGCCTATCTTTTGATGATCTCTTGCTTATTTTTATTGAATTGTTATGTTGGAAAAATACTTATGAAATTGGGGGTTTTGAATTTACTTGTGATTTGAGAAAATGGTTGGTATTGCATCTTTTGTATGGTTTGTTGTGATGGACTTGAATTACATTCGAGAACTACCGTAAAGTGTTAGAGGTTAGTCTATCCTAGTGAGGGTAAGATGGTTTCCTAACAGTTGTAGTGAATTGTTGTTTGTGAGAGTAACTACTATTGTTCATGTAAGTTCGAGGCTGAGGGATAATATATTTTTTCTTGGAAGGATTCGTCAATGCTGTGGGAGACGGTATACGCCCTTTCTAAATTGGTTTGTGTGGTTATGATGGGTGAACAAGGTAGCATCGTCGTGTAAATTCATGGGAAGCAACCAACATACATGAGAATATGAAATGATGCTATTGAATGATTAATTGATTTCTTCACATGTTTATTTCTTTCATTTAACTTATTGCTATTGCGTTAACTTGAGATCGAATAAATTGTCCATGTTTTATTTCAAGTTATATATAATATTTTGGAAAATGAAACCGAACTATATTTATATGTTTTCTAAACCTTATTCAAGTTTGTGAGGATGTTGCTACAGAACTTAGTGCTCATCCCCTACAAATACTATTTATTCTCAGATGTCGGTTTAGATGAAGAGCTTGGAGTTGATGAGCAGGTAGCTTGGGAAGCGCAATTGGATGGAAGCGTGGATCCTGAAGGAGATGTCTAGAGTTGATCTCTCCATGTCCTAGACTAGGAGATACATTTTGATAAAATGGATAGATGTTATTTTGTTTATTCCGCCGCAAGATAAAGTGTAATTTTGAGATGTAATAATCATAGTTTGACATATTCTTTTTGGATGTAAATATCAAGGTTCGACATATTCTTTTGGATAATGTTGTAAATATTATGTATGATGAATGAAATTTGTCTTATTTATGGACTTTATTAGTTGCTCTCATGATGTGAATGATTTTAAATAGTAATGTCATCCAAGGTGAATTTTGGGGCGTTACAATTTTATTAGAACTTATAATGATGCATATATTTTTTAAGAGTAATATAATCAATCAAGATTTTTTATAAAAATTAACATTTATACATAGGGAATATATAATTAAAAGTGATCTTAAATATAATTTGGAGATTTAAATACATAAGGATATGATAATAATTTAGATATTAAGTGGGGAAGGATAGCGTAGTCTTTTTAATTCTTTATTAGGGTAAAATAGTGAATCAAATTTTTTTATATTAAAGTACTTTTATTAATATTATAGATTTAGATAGGGCCAATGAATATCAATGGTCAACAAACTAGGAGATTAACTTAGTTGGTATAGCCTTACTCGTATTTATTTTGCTGTGTAAAAGTAAAGATGCCTATTTAAGTGCATCTCCGATCCTTATTTTTTTTAAAATTAAAATTTAAATTTAAGTAAAAAATTCTTAAACACTTTCTCTAATATTAGACTCACAGTATCTCTAACTATGACTCAAATTTTTATTCAAATTTAAATTAACATTTGAGTAAAAAGCTTATTTTTATACAAAGAACTTCAATGGACAAACTTAAATTTAAATAAGAAACTCAAATTTAAATGCGGGCAAACTCAAATTTAAAAGAGAGTAAACATAACCATTGAATTTTTAAAAGAGTGAAATATCACAATTAAATATTTAGGTAAAAATTTGAGTCTTCCTTAATATGGTATAAGTTTGAGTGAAAAATTGGTGTAAGTTTTTTGAAATTTTTTACTCAAATTTAAATTTGAGTTTAAATTTGAGTCGGTGTTGGTGATGCTCTTAAATAAGGGTTTAAATCATGTCGTATTCGTGTGATCTATGTGTTGTGTTATTTGTGTCATATTGTGTTAAAATCCACAAAAAAAATCTATTTAGTGTGTTATGAGTATTAAATATTAATATAAATTATTTATTATATATATATTTAATAATCGTGTCAATTTTATAATCGTTCATGTCATGTTCATATCATCATATCAAAATTGACACCCCTACTCTTTAAATGAAAGAAGACTCATTTTTCTACTTAAATCAAAAGTGATTCAAATACATACCTAAATATTTAATAATGAGACTACATCTTTCTTTAAAGATCCAATGATCATATTTTATCTTTTTTTAAATTTAAATTTATCCTTATTTAAATTTGAATTTCACTTCCTTTAAATTTAAAATTTTCTAATGGAGAGGTCCATAGGAAATGGTCCAACTACGGCGACAAGAAATGAGACTCATGACTATTAGTTAATGAGTGATGGAGACTGGAGTCAATGCTATGTTGCCTATTGTTATAGGAAATAGGAATAAAGGGTATTTTTGGTCATTTCACAAAAAAGTGTAGCTACCCTTTGCAACAAAGATAAGATAATAGTTTCCATGCACTTGATTATTATGAGAACAAAAACAGCAAAAAGTAATATATATAACGTATATACGAATATGACCCAAAAACAATTAAACAAAGATTGTACACATTTACATGCTGCTACCAGTAGGAAGCTTTGTACTGTTTAGTCTTTGAAAACAGAGTGACCCACACAATTGAACACCCATATCACAAGTAATATAGCACCCATGTGGTTGATAGCCATCTTTAGGTGTCGGCAGAACCATCCTTCTCCTCGAGTAAAATATCACTCCACACAGTGTAGTGGGCAAGTTGCTGCATCTTGTGTTGGATATTCTTGGGTCGTGTGGAGATATGTAATCTATACATATATCTCCTTCCCCCGCACACAGTTTTTGTTATTAGACGGTGACACCAAGAAGTGATGACGTGAATATTTACTCATTGTTCACATTGAAGTTGCCAAGCCACTAATTATCCCAAATTACTCCAAGCTGGCAGATTTACAAAACTCCCTACCAGAACCGATCTTTGTTGACACTCAAGTACCCAGCCATTACTTTTCCTCCGGTGTTCCTCATTCCATCTATGAGAAAGCACCATGTAGAACCTAATGCTCCAATGAAGAAGTCAGCTTCAGTGGCCATCAAGAAATTAACTAGAGGATAGTTGGTGCTGGTTTCCCTGCCAAGACTGGCTTCATAAGTTGCCATAGTCATGTTCCCCACTTGTCGTGTCACATTCGTGTAGTAAAATTTCCAATGGGCATACGATCTTGATTTGTCAATCACTTCCTGAAGATCAGTAACACAATTTACAATTCCAATCCATACAAAAGCATAAACAGCAACTATCTTTCAAGGAAAAAAAGAATAACTCAGCATACAAAATTGTAAAACCTGCATTTCAGTGGAGAGCCAGATGCTGTTAAGATGAGGAAAACGCTTTCTAATGCGGTCAGCAAGTTGCATGTACACTTCGAATTCTACCACCTCCATTTCGCATGCCTTGTCTCCCATTCTCACATGTATGCTTAACAACGGCCTAGGGATCCATGGCTTATGACTTGACCAAACAAATTCTTCAATGTCATATCTAGATTTGTCTCCGACATCCTGCATAGGAGAAAATCTACTAGTCACGTTGGGGTTTCAAGACTCAGATCAGGAAGATATTATGCTTATATTCCTGACAACAACCGGAATTAAGGGGAAAATTGCACTTTGTTTTCTGAGTATTTGTCTAAGAAAATCCATTGTGGAATTATTTTGATCACCATAGCAATTCAATACTGCACAAAAGCTATTTATTTGAAGACTACATGGCATAGAACCGGAGGGAATAACAAAGGCACTCGCTACAACTATAATGTTTATAAAGTCTTTAAAAAAGTTTAAATGCATAAAAAATTGACATACTTGCTCAAGTGAGTTTTAAAAAGGGTCCACAAGAGGCGACACTGCCATAAATTTCTTGTTATCAATTTAGCATCACTTTATCTCTTCCAAGTAACTTGGCATATTTAAATACAAGAATATATTCCTGGGTGAAAAAATGATGTTTTCCCTCTCATGCAAATAAACAGAACCTAATCCACAGAAATCTGGTAAGAACAACCTATCAAGCTGAAAGTAAACGGTATTCTTCATAACCATCCAATGTCAAGGTTAAAAACATAGCACTAAAATGAGTGAAGAACAGTGATCACAACAAAAATGAAGAATAAATATGACATAACCCTCCTAAACATTGTAGTGACAGTTTGCGCATAACTCATTTAATGGACATTATGAAGTTCAGAAAGCAAAGGAACCATTTGATTAACAAGGACTAACTTTGCTTTCAGAAAGCAAAGGAATGTTAATCCAGGTTTTTTCAGGTTTTTTCTCCATCTTCTCCAAAGCATACAAGAAATAAGGTTCTAGATTAACATACCTCTTGCAATTCTTCAACAGGAGTTGCAGCAACTATTTTTGCAGCTTCCCACCCAAATGCTGCATGCCGTGCAATATTTAGTAGGTTGCATGTGTACTCAGTCTTAAACCTCATTAGATAGCGCATAGCCTGACAATGACATAAACATTAATGCAATTATATTAAAAACACAAGGAAAGCAAACATTATTGATTTCTTACCATCATTCACAAAATGCAACTTATGCTCTAATGGTTACTACACTATTTGGGGACAACCAGTAATTTAAAGTTGATTTAAATTTGATATAATTCATTTTGGGGAAGATGACAATCGATGAGAGCTTCAATGGACCATCTGGGGCAGGATGATAATCTACAAGAGCTCCAATGTTCTGAACTCTGTTCCATATAGGGGGAGTTCTACATATATAATCCTGAGGCAGGCGTCACATCATGTCACTCAATGCTTACTCTCCTGGGCCTCCAGCACTATCATCTTAACCAAACAGATTAACATACCTATCATGTCAATCAAACTGAGCAACATAGACAAAAGGTTTTATCTGCTTTTCAATTAACTCATCATTTCTCCTGATTCTCAAATTGGACAATCTGGATCATTCCACTTTAGTTTGCAAGGACGGAGGGAAAAGAAATTTAGTCATGTACTTTTGGTCATCACGGCAAGATTGGTAATAAAGAAGATAAAATGTACTTCATTTCTCCCTTGCAGAGATATGTAAATCATTTCTCCCTAGTAGAGATATGTTAATGATTATTTATGTATATGTCAAAGGGGTGGAGTCTATAAATATGACAAATTAAAATGCTCTATTCGTCTAAAACCCACAAAACCTTCCATTTCCAGAGGAACCTCTAACTGTACCTGCGCTCTCCACCACCTCCGATCCATTTTTCGATGATAGGCAATCAGACTTCCATTTACTTCTGTTGTTGGCTGCAGATAACTCCAACGATTACCCCATTTCCTGTAGTGTAATGTTAACACTAGTCACATAAAGAGATGATATAATCACATTCTGCATGCATAAAATATCGCAGAACTAACGAGGAAGATGTGCAACAGCTTGCCTAGGAGTTCGACCAGCCCATATTTCTTTAGAAGTATAATTGTCTTTTCTTGTTATAATTCCTTTTTCCCATGCTTCTTTTCTCTGCATAAGCTCAAAAGCATGGTGACGGCATTCTTCAGATGTTTCTGGAAAGAAGTAGCAAGACCAACTAGAGCGTGACAGACCTATGAAGACACAAGAAGTAGAGAAAAAATATATTTCACCAGTGAAAAAATTGCATTAAGGTGGATATTCTACAAGTCACGTAATATAATTAGGAACATGCATGGTATCTCGGTTGAATCCCGCTATTAAAATAAAGAAAAGAAGAATGCATTTTTTAGTACCATGGTATCAAAGTTGGGCCTGGGTCAATGGGTCAGGTTTCACCCATTTGATTGTGAATTTGTTTTGGTTCAGTTTGTTAGTCCACCTGCGAGCTTAGGCCATTAGTGAGGGAGGGTGTTAGAATGTTTGTATCAAATAACCAAATATGAGTATCACTCCAAGTTAGTTTATATGGTTGAGCCTATCCATCCATTGCCAGTTGGTTTTTGGTTTTGGGTTGACTGCTCTAACAAGATAGAGTCCTACTTTTGAGTATTGATATTGCACTTCCAACCCCCTCCAAGTTCAAGGAATAAGTGTCTAATGCCAGAAGATATATCGCAGGAAGATTTATGTACAAGCACTACTGATATGTTATTGTACCTTCACAACCATCATGGTCAGCCCTATTGTAGTAGTCTGTAACAAGTACTCTATTCTCTTTCATTGCAATGGCAAGAAGACCACACATTCCAGCAAACTGGGCGCCGATACCAAATCCGGGTAATCTCTCCCAGTCAGCAACTAGAAATTTAACACTAGGATCACTGCAGTTCAATGGATGCTGATGGAGCCAAATGTCGCGTTGCACTTTCCTCGTAAAGGGATAATTTTCTTCATCTGATCCCGTGATCTGTGACAGCCCTTAAATTTGTAAAATGTTGATGGCCATAATCATCACACACACACACACCCCTAACACTTTAAAATGGTGCATATAATATGCAACAAAAAAGAATTCAGAAGACATTCACGTTGCAAAGAAAAGACTTCCACTTACCTAATAACTACAAGAGTGGAAAAGAATTATGCCATCATATTAGTTCGTTAGTTAATTGATCAGTTTACAGTAATCATATGCATCATAATTCGGACAATTGATTTACTTCTACGTATATATTTTCAACTAACCAGTTTAATATGTTTAAAAACAAGAATGCATGTGTGGTCTGAAGCGCACCTCCCCACATCATTCTTAAGCCAAAGAAAACTGGTAGTTCAACAAGTACTAATGTATGTGCTGCCAATTTTCCTAGAACACAACATGCATATGTACAAAAAGTTACATGAATTAATGATGAGCTAGATTCCTCTTGTTCGAGCAGAGGAGGCTGATACTACAAATTGTGAACTGTAGGTGTATGCAATTTGTAAGTGCGATAGATTCAGAATGGAATTTTGTGAGTAATTTAGCAAATTTAAGTCACTGAGTTAAAAACCCCAGTTCAAGTGTGAAGATAAAGATACTTTCTCATGTAATCATATTTGGGAGCAAAGCAATGACTTTCAGTATATAATAAGAACATACCCAGGGTGGATAAGCACCTTCGGACATGGCTTGATGCCTATAGTGCCTCAGCTGCTCATCAGTCGATACTAAGAGGAAGTTATTTAACATTCCCTTCCAGATAGTCCATGGAGGGAAGTTCTCATTCTCAACACGGTTATCGAGATGCTGGTCTACTTCGGCACGCAACTTGCAGTTCTCCAAGTGAGGAGGGTTTGGTACATTTGATCTGCCCGAGCCAGCACTTTGTGAGAACTCACCTTCCCGATTTATAAATTTAGTTGGTAAATCATTCCAAGCTGAGTAAAGTAAGGGAACTTTCTCAGCAACTCTAAAGTTTATACTAGTTTGTGAATACATCATCCTTTCTATTTCATTTGGCTTTATGTTGCAATCTCCACTGGCAATCACATCTGCAAACATAACACCATAACTTTCAACTCTTACGCATGCAATTGATCCATCTGAAAATTTAAATATCCTTCAGAGCTAATCAATGATACAGAAAGTCAAGCGAAAATAACTGCAAAACCATCCTAAATGTTGTAGCCTGAGACTACTAAGAGAGTCACCCTCCCATTATGTGTTTCTAACTTTCACTTGTGTTTATGCATAGTAGTTAAATCACGTATCGGAAGGCGTATCGTTTTTCAAAAATAGTGTATCCCATCGTATCGTGGATCGTAAGATACCCGCAATTTTAATTTTTAAATAATTATTAATAATGTGTGTGTATATATATATATATATATATATATATATATATATATACCTTTGTAAAAAAAACATAGACTCATAATAATATAGCTACACCAAGTATTCAAGTTCCCAACATAGTTGAGTAATATCAAAATGCAAAGACCTCTAATTCAAACTTCTAATATTAACTGCTTGAATAACTTTAATATTAATCAGAAATTTTGAACTCAAATGAATAACATTAACAACATACTTTATTTTATTTTTTTAAATCACAACCACTGAAATGACGTCGTTTCATTAGCTAGTAATTTAAAAATAAGTCTTAAGGTAAAACGATGTCATTTCAGCCAAAAAAAAAAAAAATCGTCATGTATCGGACGTATCGCATCATATTGTACGATACGGTGTAAAAACGATACAGAGACACGATATGTATCGTTTTTCAAGTGTATCATGTCGTGTATTGTCTTCAAGTTAAAGATTGAAGTAGCCCAAGAAGTCTAAGCTCAACTAGTTAGGAGAGTTACAGTACTTAAATTACTGGACTGCAACCTTTCATAAAGACACCATCAGACTAGTATAGGTGGCCGAGCCAGCATTCATATCCTGCTAAAACTTGTGCAATCAGAAATCACATCATCTAAAGTGATCATATGTTATAATTAACAGAGAAAAATAAATCTTGGCCTAAAAAATGCATTTATCACCCCACTACATTTCCATCTGAATAAACTTACAGATTGAAAACAACTTTTATCTCATAATTGCTGCTACCAGAAGTCAATATGTTTAAAATGGGCTGTAGTATACCACAATGCCTTACTAGATACAACCTAAGTTGCCTACAGCAAGCAAGAAAAATGACAGCCAATAAAAAAAAAATACATTTTGACGAAGTTCAAGGAGGTTCCTTTCGGATTGTGTATAATTTGGGATAGAAAAACACAGGAGTAGGTGTGAACGAAATTAAGAGTTATCTTTTATTCTCTGAAGGAAAAAGAAAATATCTACATTAGCCAAAATGTTCAGGTGTGTACGTTGAAAGACATTCCACAGTTGAACAGGAATTAAATACCTCTTGCAAAATAACATTAACTAATGTCCTAGTTCCTATTAAACATTTGGATAGTGTCTTGCAAGATAGATCTTTATATTATAAATTAACAGCCAATTGGTGAATAAAACTAGTAAGCAACCAACAGGATTGATAGGGCATTCCTCATATGAATGATCCGTAAGGCTTGGTTATACTCAGGAAGCAATTTGATTTTTATATTTCCAATCAACAATCGTTTCTTCAGGGAACACCCTCTGTAAGACATGAAGGTGTCTCAAGGAAGAAATTTAGTTTCTACAATCAGCCATGTAAATTCTTTTGGCTTGCATCTTGTTAAAGATTTAGTTCAATATTGACTAACCCATCACTGAACTGGACCATGATCCGGAAACTTCTGGTGAAGTTCCATTAGAATTAAAGAAATGCAAATTAACAATAAGATGATCTTATGTAGTTATAAAAGCACCCTTTCTCTTAACCCTTATCATGCATTTTGACCTATGCTTCTGAGGACAACTTCCGGATATGCTTCACTAAAAAGCTCGAGGTTAACAGTATTTTCTGAACTGTGGTTTCATTCTGTCAGTTTTTCTTCTTTTTTTCTCCCAAGTCCTTGCACTGATTAGAATCTCTTTTAGTGGCCCGTTTCAAGAAACCACATTGGTAACAGCCAATTGCCCCTTATAAAGTTGCAAGTGTTTGCTTTATAGGGAAGCTTGGGATTGAGAAAGGAAGTAGAAGAAGTTATTAAGCTGCATCATATGTTTTGTACACACACTTAGAAGCACATTATGAAATTTTGAATTAGAAGCTATTCAAACTTTCGGTTGCTTCCAATACATCCTTCATGACTTTATGGATAAGTTCTGACCAACCTCAATCTAGTACAGACCTTTTGGCCAAACTTTGGCAACAAGTAATTTGATTAATTTCAGATTTACTATATCCGAACGTTAAGAATTTTTCTTTTTTGTGGTAAATTCACACACCCCCTTTTGAGCAGAATATTATGCCGACCATAATTGCCAATTTTTATTTACAAATTATACCAACCCAAATTTTTCACACTCAAATTTGATCTAGAACAACTACAAAGGGAAAAAAAAATTACAATGAATAGTGCTTTATGGATTAATCAAAGGCAAATAACCTCTAATTCAAGAACAGAAAAACAAAAACAAAAAAGGGAAAGCATACTGTTAAATGGATCACCCATAAACAATAAATAACAAAAAGAATGAGAGGAAACATTCAAATTTACACCAAATTGCATACTAAAATGTTAGCAAAAGCTATAATTTTAATGCATGTAACACAACAGAAACATAAAAGAAAATAACAATTGAGAAAACAGAAGGGCAAATCCCACTTACTGACAAGTTCTGAACTTGAATTCGACTTGGAAATTCCAGTTGCAAATGTTGAAAACGAAATCCCACCATACTCAAAAGTCCCAAATGAAGTAAGAGCAGCCAGAAACAATGTGGTGAGACAAACCCCACAGAGAAATCCCACCACACAAATTTGGCATGGGAATGAGTTACCCATCTGAATAGCTTTCTGTGAAACAACTCTCTCAATAGATTTCTGATTTGTAGGCTCCATTACTTGTCCACAAATCATCATACTTCAAGCAAAAGAGATATCAAAAAACAGCCCTTTGAATCATTCCTACTAATACTCTACAAGCTTCCAACTAACAGCTAAAAAGAATCACATGATAGATGAAACTACATGCAACTTTTCCTTTTTTCTGGAAACCCAAATGAAACCCATTTTCAGATATATTCATAAGAAGAAAACCATAATTTGGTGGAGATTACTCATGATTTAGAAAGCTTCAAAATGGGTCTCTCTCCAAGTGATCAAGAAAAAAGAATCACTGTCACCAACCATCTCAACTGTAAGAACCTTCTTAATGTGGTGGTCCAGTCCTATCTTCCTTTCAGCTGCAACAAAAAGGGAAGTCCATCCAAAATATGAAATTTAATATCAACAGATAAAAAGGAAGATTTGAAAAAAAAATAACATAATGAACAAAGAGTAAGTATCATGGATAGGAGAAGAATACAAAGGGAAACAATCAACGAAATTAACAACCATGAGCAGGAAAAAGAACAGAGCAATATCAATCTGTACATGGAAAGAACCATGGGGTTTGAGAAAAAAATGCAGATAATAAAAGTTCGCATGAGACCCATTTATAAAGATCTATTGGACTCCAGGAATACCCGAATTTCAAAATGAAAATTTCAAATTTTGGCATGCAAATTCAGGGATTATTAAATAAACCACTCTAGTCTTGACAAGATATTGAAGAAAATAAAAAACAGAGCACAAGCAATAAACAATCACAGCAATACCTGCAGGATTACATGAATTTCAAGGAGAAAATTTCAAATTTGGGCATGAAATTTCTGAGATTACATAAACCACTCTAAGCTTAACAAGATGTTAAAGGAAAAAATTGACAGAGTAAATGCAAACCTAGTGAACAATACACAAACTTACAGGTGGATGGAAGAGAGAAAAGAGGAAGTAACAGATGGACTTTCAAGAGAAAGAGAAAGCATGCAGATAGACACATACATGTGATTGTTGTCCTACAATGCAATTAATGGTAGAAAAGTACCTAAAAAAGCAATCACATAGTAACCAATGAACAGAGAGTTGTTTTCCAGAAGATAAAGATAGAGATGAGCTGATGCACAAAAAATGGCATTTTTTAAAACAAAAACAAAATTGTGAGACTGAGGCATTCAGAAACTGACCCATATAACTATAATCTAATTCTCTCAAGAAACACAAACCGACATGTCATACAATTATCCTCTGAACATTCACAACTCTTTTTAGGAAAGAAAAATAGTCTCTCTCCTCTCTCTCTTCTCTTCTCTCTGTGTCGGAATATTTGTAGAATAAGCTTGTGCGCAGTCACTATTTTCACTAGAATGGCACTGCCTTGGATAGAGAGAGGGGAGTGTACATTGAAAAATGGAGTGCATTATGATCAGCTGGTGCAGGTGGAATGTGTTCCTTTCCAAGTGGGCCTAACCCAACTCTCTTCATTATCAAGCCTAGCTGTTTCTTCTAAGTCTTTAGGTTGATCATCACTTCTTTATTGATATTATAAATGCTTACCCAGGAACAAAAAGATAAAAGAAATTGATATTTTTTCAGAAGAAGACAGAAATATAATAAGATTAGTTGAGAGAAGAGTTGTTATCCTCCTATTCCTTACTCTCGGATATATACAAATCAGGCCATACTTACTCATCCTTGAAAGACACATGTCCTTCAAATTCAAATTTAAGATAGGGGTTGTTTCAGTTTTCTAGGGGCAAGGAAAATTAAAGGTAATGTTACAAACTAAGGTCCATTTGGTAACTTTTATATTTTTTTTTTTTTTTATTTTTATTTGATATTTAGAGAAAATAAAAAAAAAATTTGTTTGATAATCTTTTTTATTTTTTTTTTTGTCATCATTTTATAAACAAGGGGCGATTTTCAAAAATGAAAAAAAGACGTTTTTCGTTTTTTGATTCTGCTTTTCGTTTTTTAGAAAATCAAAAATTGTAAAAATTATCAAACAAGTCCTAAAAAACTTTTTTTGTGGGAAGGTCTTACATTTGAAACAACCACTGTAAATTCAATATTGTTTGAACAAGTACACAAAATGTATCCTATTTCTTTCCATTTACATGAGTGATTATTATTTGAGTAAAAATTATAGTTGATCTCTAAATTTTGCCTTGGGTATATTTTTACTGTTAAATCACCTATGAAATAGATTAGATTGGGATATTTTACAATTGATTTTATGGTGAAAATTAATGGAAGGACTTCAATAAGGCAAAAATTGATAGGTGGTAGACTATATTGAGACGATTGAAAGTTCAAAGATCAACTTGAAATCGAAGACAAAATTTAGAGACTGTCCCTAAATTTTAAAGATCTCTTAATATAGTATACTATTTACTTAAAACAACTCATAATTATCAAGGGCATACTTTAAACTATTTTTGAAGGCCCTCAAAAATTTAAAAGATTATCTAAATTTATCTAACTCCGTAAAATATTGTGAGAAGCTATCTTTCTAATTTATGATATTATCCCAATTTACAAAGTGGAGATGATTGTTGGTTAATATATATAATAGTTTTTTACATTTGAGTCTTCGAAAAGGCACATCTTATTGGCGCAATGCACATAATTTGAGAATGATAATGTGACATTCACTAGGTCATAAAATATGTGATTGATACGAGTTTTATATAAAAAAAATTATAATAATTTACTAGGTCTAATTTAATCGACCCCCATTGATCCTCTTAAGATTTTACAAACTAAAAAGTTAATGGGTCAAAAGATTAATTTCTTATGTTCATTCTTTAGAAAATTTACTATGTCCTCCTTTAGGCTCTCATTTGTTTTTTTATTGGATGTTTTTCTCATCTAGAGATTCATGATTCTAGGGTAACTAAATTATTATAATCACCTACTGATACACCTATAAATAAATCTAGTCACCCGATATCATATCGAAATTCATTTCATTCGTTGATTTTAACTTAAAAATTTATAACTATTGATTAGAAAAATAATACACTAACAATAAAAAAAAATACATATCAAGTTTTTATTTGATACAAAGTAAATGTATGGTCTTAAAAAACTAGTTATTGTCGGTGCCTAAAGAAACAAAGTAATAAAAAATGATAAATAATGAATATATTTGTGTTTATATCCAAAATCAAATTATAAACATAGAGGAGAAATAAATAAATTTAAGCATCGATTTTAATGGGGGTGAGAGGTGGTGGGCGGTAATTGTGGTGATGGGTAGGAGACGATGATTGTTGTGGTGGGTGGCAATGACCGTAGTGGTGGTGGCGACGATGGCGATGGAATTTATGGTGTTAAATTAGTCATTAGATTAACTATAAAGTAAAATTTAAAGTGATTTAAACCGAAAAAAGTAAAAATTATTTTATTTATTTTCTAAAAGTTGAAGTGTAAACTATTTTATTATACAAATTATTTTTTTTTTTTTATATGTGTCAAGTTTTTATTTGATACGCAGCGAATGTTTGGTATCAAAAACTTTTTTTTGGCTTAATAATCTCATATTTTTGTATGTACACGTGTATCTAGAATGGAGAGAGTTTGTGAATTTAGTTGGTGCGAGAAAGGTTTTCGAAGTTGCTGGTAGTAGTTGATGTTTGATGAGGAGGGCTTGCGGCTTTATCACTACCATTCACCAATGCATGGGTAATGGGTAAAGACTTTCTTGATGACGACGCAAAGGTGGAAGTGACAGCACTAGTAATGTGTCTAGCTAGTTAATGTAAATGTATAGACTTGGGAAATCCGTGCCTGTATTGCGGCACATAATATCAAAAAAATCTCATCCCTAAATCACGAACGAAAAACTGTCTGACTGTACGAGTGGGGACCACTGATTGGTAAGACCCCATCTGTCTCCGGGCTCTTTCCAAATCGGTCGGCCGTTCTTTCGTGAGACTTCTTCAATATAGTTGGGTAAGTTAAGATTACGCTTCTTATCAAAGATTTTAGGGAGATTTTCAATCATACTTTTTCTAATTTATTCCATTTTAAAGATATCCTCCTTATTTTTTGAATTTTTACTAACAACCCTGTTAGATTAAATATTTTAATTAGAATATAATTTTATTAAATTACTCATGATATAAAATTTTATCTACACCCCTCTAGATAGAAATACCTTCAATGAGGTCCTATCTATTTTATGAATTTTATATATTAAAATTCGGGGCTATTAAAATTCATTTTTAATCAGTTCAAATCAAATTTTAATAAACTTGTATTAAATTTTAATTGGTATAAATTTTAATACGTAAAAAAATATAAATTTTAATGCATAAAAAATAAATTATAATTAACTTGAATCGAATTATAATTAGCATGAATTTTAATAAGTAAAAAATATAAATTTTAATCGGCTTGAATCGAATTTTAATTGGGGTTAACAATTCAAGTTGAACACAAATAGACTTGAATTTTAATACGAAAAAAAATAATAAAATTTAACAAGGCTCAAATTTTAATACATAAAAATAAATAAAATTTACTTAGCTTGAATCGAATTTTAATCGGTTCAAATTTTAATATTTAAAAAAATAAATTTTAATCAACTCGAATTTTAATATGTTAAAAAATAAACTTTCATCAGCTTGAATTTTAATAAAATTTTATATAGAAAAAATATTTTTGGTTTATGTCGGAATACTTTTGGTCTTTTAGATGAATTTTTTGTTAGAAATGTCACTTTAATGACAAGAATTGTTAGTAATATTTAAATATAAAATAAAAAAAGTGTCAAAGATGTTTTAGATAATAAAAAGAGTGTTCTTGAAAATATAATCAAAATTAAAAGGGATGTGACTAAAATTTTCTCAAGATTTTAAACTATCCCTTTTACATGATTTAAAAATTTCATTTTATCAAGAAAAAATATATGTATATCTATATTTATATACTAACCGTCTCTTGTGCAAAACATATTTTTTAGTGTATGGATTGAGTTATTATGGTTAGAAAATTAAAATTTCAGATAGTTATTGTGGTTAAAAGATTAAAAATTTAAATTTAAATGAATTGTCGTGGTTAAAAGATTAAATCGCAATTTCATTCGTTGGATCTAAATGATCCGTGTCGTGTCGTTGTAGTATTTTAAGCAGCACAAACAAGAAGCGTTGTTTTATTATTATAGATTAATCATAATCGGTGCTTGAAGTCATGATCTAATATAAAATTTGAGCGTTTAAAAAATTGATACTACTATATTTGAAAATCGACATATTTGATATAGTGGCTCAAATTATACCCATTATTTTTAAAAAAAAATTGACAAATTTTTCTCAAAATACATGATCTCAAAAAATATCAATATGCATACTATCATATATGAATAATGTCTAAAATAAAAATTATATTGAACCATAATTTAATAAAAAAAATAATTCTCCTTGTAATAAAAATGTGTGATGTGATATAAATGAATAAAAAAATATATGAAGATAAAATTCAAACTCATAACTAATGGCGGAGCCACTCATAGGCCAGGGTGGGCCGGTACCCCTTTACATTTGTTTTATCTACTACACATACTCATATGATATTTTTATTTAACACACTATTTAATTTTTTAATCTTTCCCTTAACCCTTGTATTTTGGTGTCCATAAGAAGAAAATTAAAATTTTAGGACATGATATGACATCAAGCATTTTTTGAATAGGTGGATGAGATGGTAGATGTGAGCCTTCTCATCAGCCATAACCTTTCCTTTGCCTGTTGACAGAGGAAGGATAACTTTTATCTAAGGGAGAGACTTAGTCAGCCTAGCACTGGCAAAATAGTAGTAGTTGGAGAAGAGGTCGGAGAGATGTCAGAGTTCAGAGACACCCCTTTCACCCAAGGGAAGGACATCCTCACTCTCTTCTCTTGCATCAAAGGGCCAGTTTGAAACGCCCTTCAGGCTATAACTGTCTGGAGGGATTTCTTGTCAATGATCTTAGGGGCCATAACTGAGGAATTGCAAAAGTTAGGAGAAAATTGAAGTTAAGACAAGATGTGAAAAAAAAATACTTATACTTTTGGAAGGGAGGTAGCAATAGATGAGAGATAGTGGAACCACTTGGAGAAGGCCCCAATAGTCATTCAATGAGAGCTTGATCACTCACAAGCTCAGGGAAGTCCTTTTGTGGGTAGTCAAGCGCTTGTTTAATCCGTTCTCTCAACTAATAGAATGGGAGATTCGGTTTACCTATGTTCAAAAGAGGATTAAGGTAAAAATTCGAAGACCAAACAAGAAATCACTAGAAGAAAACACACTTACTTGGAAGAGGGGTAGGTATCTCCCAAATGCGAGGAACTCGAAAAGAGCTGCTAGAATGAGTCTTAGAGGAC